CGAAATTTTGGGATCGCAAGCATATTACATACACGAAAGAGTCTGACCGAATAAAGGGGTGGTAACATCCTACCAGTTGGTTGTGCTGGCTGTGCAATATTTCCAAAAGGTGAAATGGCAATATATGATTCTCGACGAAGCCCAGGCTATTAAATCCTCGCAGAGTTCCCGCTGGAAAAATCTTCTTGGTTTCCACTGCCGCAACCGACTTCTGCTTACTGGAACTCCTATACAGAATAACATGCAGGAACTGTGGGCTTTGCTCCATTTCATTATGCCTACCCTTTTTGATTCCCATGACGAGTTTAGCGAGTGGTTTTCCAAGGACATCGAAAGCCATGCCCAGAGTAATACGAAATTAAACGAGGATCAACTGAAGCGGCTGCACATGATCCTGAAGCCGTTTATGCTCCGTCGTATCAAGAAGCATGTCCAGAAGGAGCTTGGTGATAAGGTGGAAAAAGATGTTTTCTGTGACCTTACTTACCGCCAGCGCGCTTATTACACCAACCTTCGAAATCGAGTCAGCATCATGGATCTTATTGAGAAGGCGGCTATTGGAGATGATTCGGATAGTACAACACTGATGAACTTGGTTATGCAATTCCGAAAAGTTTGTAATCACCCTGATCTGTTTGAGCGGGCCGAGACCGCTTCCCCGTTCGCTGCTGCATATTTCGCGGAAACGGCATCTTTCCTGCGGGAAGGCCCTCTTATCGACGTTGCATATTCAACACGAAATATTATTGAATATGATCTACCACGCCTCATTTGTAGCTCACATGGACGCCTCGATGTTCCTGGTCCAGGAAATGAAAGGGCTGGATTCAACGGCAAATATCTCTCTCACATGATGAATATCTGGACACCGGAGAACATCAGAGAAAGTGCGAAACAGGACCAGGCATTCTCGTGGCTGCGGTTCGCTGACACCTCCGTTGGAGAGGCTTTCGAACTGTCCCGCCAGGGAGTGTTTGAGCGCGCAATAAGGCGTCGCGGATATTCACAGCGTCTGTCCCGGCTTATGGTCGTCTACGATGATAAAGAGAACGACCTCTCCGCAGCAGTCCCTTCTCATAGCCTGTTTAACATCGTGGAGCGGAGTGATCGCCGGGCCTTGGCGGAAATCACTCGGGAAGGACGCATGAATGAGTTGCTGAATATTTCCAGCAGAACGTTCCAAAATGCAGGGTTGGGATTGATCGAGCCCTGTGCTAAGCCTGGGGCGTTAGCGCCTCCGATCACCATCTCGTGCTCTAACCAGTTCGTCAACGTTGAAATCAGAGACACTTTGTTCAACCCATCCGTCCAGCCCACGCTTTTGGAACCACCACGCGAGCCATGGATGCAGAGGTTCTGGAG